CCCCCGAGCAGTCACACAGACGTGGAACCAGATTCGAGGGCTTGGATCTAGCACTGGTGTGGTTTCTGCCTTTGCCCCAGACGTGGCAGTCTGGCCAGACAGTGAATGCCTGGGGCCTGCACTGTGGCCAGGCAGTCTCCCCAGAGCAGGACCCCAGCAAGACCCTGAGGTTCAGAGGGTTTGGCTGGATGGAAGTGTTCTCCTCTGCTTCGTGGCACCGTACTCCTGGAGAGGCCCAGTCTTCCTGGTCCTCCTCCCTCCTCCCCAGACTCCTGCAGGCCAGAGAAGGGCAGAGCGTCGGAGGCCTGCTGTGAAGCAGGCTCAGGTAGCACAAAGGCCACGGTGGGTGATGCCCTCCTCTTTCCTCTCCAGCCCACAGCCGAAGCCAGAGTGGGAGCATGGTCCTTCCCTTGAGAGAAGCAGCGTGGGTGTGCAGGAAAGCCCACGAGGGCCTTCTAAGGTGGCAGGCCCCAGGGGTTTGTGGGCAGCAGGGATCAGAGTTGCTAGTCATGTGAATTTCAACCCTGTCCCGGTGGAGTTTGGATTGATTGTCAGGGGTCTTGAGTACAGGACAAGAGGAGTCTCCTCTGTCTGCACATGTGGTCTAGACGGGGGCTGCATCCTTTACCGTGGCAGAGAGAAGAAAGACCCGCCCGTGCTGTTCATAGGAGAGCAGTGTCCCCAGAGAGCTGGGAAGGCGGGACTCTCTTCTTCTCCAGAGGCCAGCTGGTGGTCTGTCTCCTAAGGCTGAAAGCAGGGCCTGCAGGCAGGTGCTCGCTCGTGGGTGGGGCTTTCTCCAGTGCCTATGCTGTGGGGTCCTGCACCGCTGCCCGTGCGAGTCCTGGCTTTTGTCCTCACCGAAGGTGAGCTGTGCACTCACGGAAAGGGACTGGACCCAAAGCAGTCTCCTCACACGGGCCTCAGGGTAAGCTCTGTGGCGCTCGGCATCGCGAGGCGCCCTCTCCTGGGCTCTCCGTGCACTGCAGCCGAGTCCCTGGCCCAGGCTACACCTGGGCTGAAGGAATGTGTCCCACGGTGCCATGTGCTGCCTCCAGAGGGACCCTGATCCTCTCCTAAGCACCCTCTCTCTGTTGCCCTGGGAAACTGTGTGCCAGAGGCCTTCCCTCCTGTGCCTGTCCATCTGAACCGTGGGTGAGGACCTGTCCTGCTGGGCCAGCCTTTCCTGACTGATCTCAGGCAAAGCAGGTGACGACAGCAACTCAGAAAGAAAGTGCTCAGTGTGGTGACAGTTCTCCACAGTTCTCCTGGGAACTGTCAAGCAAAACAAGCTTCTAGAAGAGTCTATCTGCCTTTGTGATGAGCTCTGAAGGCATGAGCAGATTCACTCGCACGGTCTGGGCAAAAGCCCTGAGAGGGTCTCAGAGGTGGCTGAAGAGGACACGTGTGCTGGCCAAGGCCTCTGAAAGGCATGGCATACTTCCCGAAGCATTTGGGGTTTAGAGTCAGAAGCAACGAATTCAAGTTTGGAGAAACTTTGTTTCGATGCCTCACCTGGTTGGCCCTCTGCCACACGACCCTTGCAGGTGGACAGCCTCCTCTTGGTGGCCCTGCCACGTTGCTGCACCTGGTCTCCTGCCACAGCATCTCCACCTTTCTGGTGGCCTCAGTCGTCTACCTGCCAGCAGGCACCAGTGACCCCCAGAGCTGGCTTGGCCGTGACTTGTCCCATCCTGTTCCTGGTTCCTGTGAGCCCGGGGGTCAGGAGTGACTAGGTGTTGCTCTCTCTGGGCCACCCCTGCCCAGCTGTCAGATGGACATATTTCTACTTCAAAGTGCCACAAAATCTCAAGTGGACATATTTAAAATGACACCATCATGACTTCCCTCTGCGATGGTCTGAATGCTTGTGTCCCCTGAAGTTCACGTGCTGCCACCTGGCCAGTGGGCCTTGTTATGGCCGCGCTAGCTGGGTGGGTCTGAACCCACCATGTGCAAGGGCATCCATCCTGGCTCCCTGGCTCCCAAGCCAGCAGACACATTTGTCTGAGTACTTGAAGATGCATCTGATTTGGAAGGGCCGATTTGCCGATCAAGAACTTCTTTTTTAGAAATACCCAGCAGTCCTGAAGATGAAATGTTTCCATTTTCTTTAACTGAGCTCTGTCTTCATTCAGATAAGACTTTGCTTGGGACAAAAGGATGGGAGAGAAGACCTCCCACCTGGCCTCCAGGTTGCAAAGAGTGAGATCCCTGCAGGAGGAGCCAGGAGGTGAGGCCACACTGCACAGCTGACAGCGGGCCCTGGGCATGGCTTCCAGGGTACTTATTGAGCACCAGGGCCCAGAAGCCATGACCTTTGTCCCTGCTTCATCTACTCTTTAACTTTGGCCTCTGCTGACGAGTAATTCTTCATCCCTTAGATGCCGTGATTGGGGACAGGAGAAGTAAGACCTGTACCTTCTGTTCAACCTGTGCTAGCTGCTGAAGCCCAGGCAGTTTGTGGTCATGCAGAGGTAAGTGTCCACACATCTCCATGCACCAGAGGGACATGGCCAAGGTATGCAAGCTTGGGAAAGCTTCCAGGCAGCCCCGGAAGCCTGGAGAAGGCCATGGCCCCAGGAACATTGGAGGCCGCATGGACCAACTCTCCAGTAAGTCTAGTTGTCCATGTTTAGCTGTGTTCATAGCCAATATTAATTTTACTGTATTTTCAGAAAATGATACCAAGCCTACCTAATAAAACAAATGGAGACTTGTTCAACAGATAAAATACTGGTCAATACACAATGAGCATTCATTATCCAGCCTACAAAAGGACAGGAATACCAACACAGGCTACAGTGTGGGTGGACATTAGGACATTCTACTGAGGGGGCTAAGCCAGTCACAGAGGGACAAATGCAGCAGAGCCCACTCACGTGAGGTCCCTAGCACCATCATACTAGAGACATGGAGGTGACATGGGGTGGGGGGCGAGGATGGGTAGCTGTTGCTAGAGGGCACCTGCTTCTGCTTGAAGGACTGAAGCCGTCCTGGAGACGTTTGGCAGCCAGGTGGACATCCGCGACACCATCTAGCCCCGCGTCTACACTCAGCTAAGACGGTGTGCTACGTGGGGATCACCACCATTTAACACCAAAGCCAAACCAAAGGTGGCTCTGTCCTGCTCTGGCTGCACCACGGGCCTCCTGTCCACCCTCACGCCCATCTTCCCGTGCCCCGTGAAGGCCCTGCTCTACCACGTCCAGACGCGCCTGGAGGACGGTAGGCCAGCCTCTGCAGTGTGCCAGTTTCCATCCCCTGCAGGGAAGTGCAGGACGCCTCAGCTCTCCACCTGCAGCCCCCACAGAAGCCCCCCTGAGATGACTGACATGCTGTTCCCATCACAGCCTGGCCCCACACCTGCTGTGGCCCCAGGCCTGGCAGTGGCTGGCCCTGGGTGGGGCCATCTCACTCATGCCGTGGGCCTCTGGGGCCTCCAAGGATTGGGGACGCTGAGGGTGGTGTCTGCTGAGCCCTGGGGTGGGGGCGGGGGTGCCCACTGGAGGTCACTTCCTCGTGAGGTGTACCTCACCCCAAGATCCCATCTGCTAGTGGGGCAGGCTGCCAGGCACATCCACTCAGAGTCCCTGTTGGAATGGCCCTTGGGGAAGGAGGTCGGGGGTGAGCCAGTGGTGGGTGAGAGCCCACAGCAGAGCAGCTGGCATTTGGGGAAGCTGGGGCAGGGTGTGGCCCCTCCCCACTCAGGGCTGTCATCCTGTCGATGGCAGGTTTGGAGACAGGAGTGGGCACCACCCCTCCAGCACCTCAGCAAGAGGAGCACTTTCCCTGGGAGTGACCCTGGCGAGCCTCAGCCTTGCTCAGAGGCCTGGCCCAGTCTTGGAGAGCCTGGAATCGCTCCTGTGCACTGGGTGGGCTGTGTCCCGCAGAGCTGGCCGCCCGCGTACATGCAGGCGTGTGCAGAGGAACCTGCAACCCTGGCCCTTTGGAGACACGGGTGGGGTCAGTCAGGAAGAAACCAGGAAGGGTCATCCTGCTGGCCTTGCTGCACTGTGGACAGAAGCCCCTGACCTTGTGCACAGATCTAAGGGACAAAGTGACCTGTTGGTGTGAAAGGGGGCAAATGGCTCAGGGGCAAGTGTGTCCTGTGTGTGAGCTCTTCTTTCAAGGGTCCACCTGCCATGGGGAGGGGACAGGAATGGCATTCAGTCTTTCTTTTTGAGTGTATTTATAGCATCTGCAGTTTCCACCTAAGCAGAGACTTCATTAATACTTAAAAAACACCCTCCTTAAGTGTTGGGAGGTTTGGTGTCAGTCCTGAACTCTCCCTGTTCTGCGGTCTCTGCCGTTCATCTTGTATTCTAGGTGGTTTTACAGAGGGATACAGGGTGCACAAGACTGGTCTCTGTGGGGAATACGTGAGGAGCAGCAGCAAGGAGACCTCGAGAGTCTCCCCAGGGCAACTGTTTGTGTTGCACAGAGGGGCCTGGGCTCCAGCTCCTCAGACATAGTGGAACGCGTCCTGCTGGCCTTTGAAGTCTGTCTCTGCTCAGGCCTGTCACCTCCCCTAGGAGCCCGACAAGCTACATACCTCAAAACAAAGCTCTTCTAAGACAGTCTAATTTCATGTATTTCTTTTTAAATTAAGTAAAGAAAAATTAAGGTGGGCTGTTGGGTCCTGAGCGATTTTTTCGTGTGTTTTGACATAAACCTGCTAGGACAGTGGGTCTCTGTTCCAGCAGGGCCTCCTGCAAGTTCCAACAGAGATCAAGGAGGTGGCCTACAGACAGCGTGTGCAGTTAGAGCCACCTCTGCCGTGGGCCCTGGTGAGCAGCATTGGAACCCCCTGTCCCAGGAACAGATGTGAGCACACAGTTGTGCTTTCCAAGCAGATTTAAAGTCCCGTTCACTGCTCCCCAACCTCCAGGTTCCCCTAGTTGGCCTGATGGTCATCACTTTTCTTTCTCAGTGGTGACAAAGCCTGTGGGCAGCTCGGCAGCTGCAGTGGGGTGACCCACCGTGGCCAGCCAGGCACTCACCTGCGGTGTGTGAGGAAGCTGCCGCTGACGTGCCCTGATCCGTCACACCCCGGTGTGGGGCAGGACATTCCTTCCGTCTTGACCGACTTCCAGGAGAACTGGGAGCCGTTGAGGTACCCATCTTTCTGCCTCTTGGCCGCCAAGGGGCACCCTGAGGCGCTGCGGTGGGACGCATACTTCCCAGTGATGTGGCCCTGACCGTCACAGCCTGGGACAGGACACCTGGACAGCAGACAGAGGGGACAAATTTCACTGTCATTGCTCGAGGACCTACAGGAAAAGGCAAGGGAGCTTGCGCAGTCAGCTGGCCGGGCAGGGCCGGGAGCTGGTGGAGACCAAACATGGACCAAACCTGGTGGAGCCTCCAGGGTGGCCCTGGGCAGGCTGCGGCCAGCCAAAGCCTTCTGGACCAAGGCCTCAGTTTTATTTTGTTTCAACGGACTTTTTTTTTTTTTCTCCAAAAATACTGAGATTGGAAATTCAGAAAGATCGCCAGGTCAATCTGCAGACTTTTGACATGGGACACAGTGGCACTGGTGTGGGGCCGACCCCCTCACAGGCTGGATCCTCGCACAGCCAGATCTAGGGCCAAGCCAGGGAGCTCAGTGCTTCACTGAGGGCCAGGATCAACCAGGACATCAGTAAAATATTCACTTCCATTTTCTATTTAATTCCCTCATAAACCTTCACGAGTCTGCTCTCCTGTCAGTTCTGCTGGGGAGAGGGGTTTCTTGGTTTTCATTTTGGTATTACTCACGATATCAGCCATACAAGCTTATTGCGGAGCATCACCGGTTACTGCTTGGCCAATTCCCACACGTGGTTTGGTTTACCTGACTCCCAGTTTATTGAAATCTCAGCAGATGTTTACTGTGACCTGTGGGCTCTTTTTCCTATGGATGCTCACTGGCTTCCTTAATAGTTCCTGGCCTCCTGACCCTCATACCTGATGGGCTCCTGGTCTTCTTTATCTTCTTTGCTTTGGGCTATCCGTATGCCACTTTTTTTTGCTCTTGGACACCCTGAAAGACTAAAAGAGAAACACCTCTCAGAATCGGTGCACACCTGACTCTGGCAGGCCTTCCTGACTAGGCTGCAGGCTGTGTCTTCCTTCTCCCCAGCTTGGGCTTCTGGGGACGAGACCCATCGGGGAGGAGGTTGCCCTGCACTCTCTCAAAGCCTCTCCCTTCAGTCCTTCCCAAGGCTGTAAGAGACTGGGGTGGTGAGGATGCTGCGGACCGGAGGGGTTGGCCTCCTAGGGAGCAGCGGCTCTGCAGGAGAAATGCAGGGGATGTGGAGGAGAGAGCCGGCTGAGGCAGGGAGCCACCTGCTGGGGCGACTGCTGTGGGATAGGCAGGCCCAGCTCCCCAGGCCCTGCTCCTGCTGCTGCCAGGCCCTCCCTCCGACTGCTGCGGGATAGGAAGGCCCAGCTCCCCAGGCCCTGCTCCTGCTGCTGCCAGGCCCTCCCTTGGTCTGCATGGGGGAGTGTCGTGCTGAGCCCTGTCCCACTGCACCCGGGGCCCACACTGTGGCTTCTCTGCAGAAGGGACCGTGGGGGCTGAGCAGGTTTATTTAACTCTCTAGTTTGGGATACAGAGACCTTGGAATTGGACCTCCTGGGTCTGTCCTGAAGTGTGACTCCATGTCCAGCAACACCTGTTAGGCAGGCTAGGGTCCACTCTGAACCACAGCAGAGCTGTCCCTGTTCACAGCCTTTGAGGTTCTCCATTGCCACATGGTGACCCGTTTCCCAGTCCATCTGCCCCTTGGCTCTGCCTGCAGGCCTGCCACCTTGCCCCCAAGTCCCTCTGTCCTCCTGTGGGCTGGTTCACAGGACTCCATTCCCATGTGCTTGGCCTCAGCCACCTTGGCGTGAGGTCAGTCCTTCAGGAGTGCTGTGACCTCATCTTGCCACCTGGGAGTGCTCCCAAGACTCCCTGGTGCCCTCTGCTCGCACCCCCGCCCACCCTCATCAGACCCCTCTAGGAGGCTTGTTTGGGGCAGGTTAGCCACCGTGTTCCCCGTGGGGCGGGGCTGTCTGGGACTGCAGAGTGTACCCAGGAGGAGGAGCCATGGCAGGTGGCTGTGTCCTCTCTTGGGCCCTAGGCATGTGCCTGCCCTGGCCCCTGCACTAACCTGGTTCCAGGACCAGGGGGCGGAGTTCCCATGGGTCATGGGAAGGAAGTTGCATGTGACTCTCTTCTTACTAGTTTTCATGCTTGAGGGGGGTGAGAGCTCTTCCCTCCTACCAGCTGAGCACTAGAACACAGGGCCTGGTGTCAAATAGGTCCCCACATGCTCACTGAGGGGCAGATGGCACAGATCATCTCACGTGACTGCACACTTTTTTGGGAGTGGCAGGGCCTAGAATTTGTGAAGTTCCTCTCTGTGGCATTCAGGTCCACTGAGCCCTGCTTATAAGACCTGTGGGGCATGTGGCTCAGATCTTACCCTGGAGGAGATCACTGTCCGGGCAAGAGAATGCTCACAGACAGTGCTCAGAGACCTGAGGGACAGCACGCTAGAGAGGGACCCTGCCTTGTTACGCGTTCCGGGTGGAGAGCAGCCCGGGGAAGCCTGGCAACCTGGCAGCCGAGCCGCCTGCTCTGCAGTGAGGTGTGGGGATAGCCTCCGGGCTCTCCAGGAGCCTCTGCTCTCTGGAGCCTTCATTTTACCAGGGAGCCAGCCGACCTGCTCCGGAGCCACAGAGATGGAGGTTCCCTGCGGCTCCAGGGAGAGAGCAGGGCCTCGAGGGGAGGAAGAGTCTTCACGTACCTCCTATGGGAAGCATAGTTGCCGGTGATGTGTCCAGAACCGTCACAGCCAGGGGTGGGGCACCTACAAGCAAAACGCGAACTGGTTGATTTACTGGAAGGAACGAGCATCCCCTGACAATGAACTTTCTTACTTAGACAAAAAGCAAACTCTTCTTTGCTCAACCTTGCGGTTGGAAGAGGCTGGACGGACCTGCGCTGAGCTCCCTCGCGCATTCACCCACGGCCACCAACAGGCCTGTGTCTCCCTCCTTCCTTCAAGCACAAGGATATGTCCAGAAGAAATGCGAGTCTGGTGGCATTTAGGACTGCACTGCCAGGCTCCTGGCTTCTTCCTGAGGGCCGTGCTCCCTCCTTCCTCCTGCTCTAAGTCTGGAGCAGGGCAGTAGGGCAGGGCTTGCTGTCACACCAGGCCAGGCCTGAAGTCAGACACGCACCTGGGAAGACTCGCCCCAGGCCAGCTGTATGGTGTCAGCCTGAGCTGGCACCACGCGGGGCTCCCTCACCCTGTGGGCACCTCATGGCCCGGCGAGCCCAGCCTGCACCTGGGCACTCAGGTGACCTGATTCCCCCCAAACCTTGGTCAGACCTGGCCACCTAGTGCAGCATGGGAGAACATCTCTACCCTAGGCCACATCCCTGGGGATCTCGACAAGGTCCCTGGGCACCCACACAGAGTCTGTGTGAACCTGCTGAGTGTGGTTCGCTGGCCTGCTGAGTGCACCCGGCCAGGGCTTGATGGGGAGAGGATTTCTCCTGAAGAGTTTTAACCCTCTCCAGGCAACTTATGTGAAGTGCTACCTGAGGACAAGCAGAAGCATTCGGGTTGTAGCACTGCTTGGCACCACCACAAAGGTGGACATTAGGGCACAAAAATCAAGACGAATTTCTCTTTTCATTAAATTCGTAGGCCTCCAAAGGTAACGGAGATAAAGTGCTTCAGTGAGCCTGGTCACTTTGTAGTGAGACTCGGGTCGAGCCCTGAGTGCCATTCTGTTTCAGAGTGCCTGGCATCTGGCCAAGGACAAACCTCATGACCCACAGAGCTCACAGGTGCATACTAAGAGTCCATCTTCCTTTCCTCCGAGAAGGTGCTCTGGGGACTGGTGTGAGCACTGTCCAGTCTCTCTCATGGGAGGATGGCTCCCTCGGGGGCTCAGAGTGTCAGGGAGCCAGGCTGAAACACAGGAGTCGGGACTGATTTCCAGTGCCTGGATGCCTTATCGTGACATTCAGAAGTATTCAGACAATTTCTAATCTTGCTTCAGTCCTAAGAAAGGGATGGGATATTTCAAAAAATATATATTAAAAGCAGCAGCTGCAGATCTGGCTGCAGAACTGCCTTTGGAGGAACAGTGGGTATTCCCGAGGCCAACCAGCAATGGCAGTAACAGCACTGCTGGGGTGAGCTGGCTGACTTTCCAATAGCACCCACGGGGACCAGCCTGGCCTGGCACGCATGCAGGGGAAAGCTAGGCAGCACTGAGGCCTCTGTCAAGGGAGGCTAACCTGAGCCAGACACGTGCTTCTCACCAGCCAGCAAACACTTGATCTTGTTTTTTGCTCAAGGAAAAAAAATGTTCTTTTAAACTTCTCCTAATTCAAGTATTTAATACAAGTTAATTTAAAATTTACTCATTTTGATACCAGTAAATATTTTTCACATGTCTTTTTTCTTTTTGGTGAGAGTCAAGGAAGTTGTCATATTTTGCTCAAGGAGCAATATTATAACCAAAAAAATGCCACTAAAATCAAATTTTCATACCTATGAAAATCACCTTTGCTGCTGTTTTGTGCATATAGCTGCCTTTTACAAATGTCCCCCTCATCATCTGGTAAGAAAAGAAGTGTCCTCTTTCCTCCATGAAAAAAAAAATATCGATTGTGCTCATTTCCAGAGTTTTCATAGGGTTGGCAAAGAAAAAAGATGGCAGCAAAGAGGCCCGTCTCTTGAAAGGTCTGCTTTGACTATCACTAGTCCAAGCATGGTGGCTGACCGGATCCCCATTCTGCCTTGGCTGGCCCTGTGGATGCGGGGCCTTTCCCTGCCAGGACTAAGCCCAGTGGGGCAGGAAGGCCTGGATGGAGCTGGGCAGGCAGGCTCCAGCCCTGCCCAAGCACCGTTGCCCAGGGGACTCCCAGGCGCTGGGTGTAGTGGCCCTGGGGTCTTCAGTGGCTCTTCCCTAGGTGGTGCCCAGGGCTACACAAGGCAGCTTGGCAGAAGCCACCACCTCTCCCCAGCCGTTTTGGGCATCCATTTCTAGGCAACTGTTCAGAGACTTTAGGGCATTATTTAAACTCTTGGATTTACAGGCAAATTTTCTAGCTTTAAGAAATCTCAACATTCAAAAACAATTTTCCGCAATTGTGAGTGCGGGAGTGATTATTCATCTAACGAAGGGAATCTCTGCTCCCAGAAGCTGTGGGCTCCAGGATCTGGAGGGTGGGGGTGGTGTAGGATGGATTTAGCACGTTCGATTGGCACCTGTGCATCCAAGAGCACATCTTCCCTGTGAAGGGAGGCCCACGTGGGCAAAGTCCCCACGGGCAGAATTGGAGGCAGTATGGGCCTCACAGCCTGGGCTCTGAAAGGGTTTCCATGGAAATGGCCCTGGCTGCTGGCAGGGGGGCTGGGCCTGAAGCGTGAGCCACTCTGAGCAGTCCTTAAAGCAAAAGGGGCTGGGCCTCGCTCCCTGATGGTCACCAGGAATAGCAGCACCTGGGCTATTTTAAGTTCCTGTGAAGAGGAAGTTGCCCTAGACAAAGAGCTTGGCTTCATCCATCCTTTTTCCCCCTACTTCAAAGGTACTCTGGGTAGAAACACTCAGAGAAGAAAGAGCAATGGATGGACCACCTCAGATCTGCGCGTGCAGGCTGGTGATGTGCTAGACAGGAGGTCCCTGATCCTCCCGTCCCTTCTGGGTCCTGTGTCTGCCTTGAGAGTAAACAATACAAAGAGAAAATAGTTTTCAGTAGGGAAATTTGGTCTTGTATAGACATTTAAGAATTCTGATGGAAAAAATCATAAGAATGTGTTTAAAATTTTTTTAAGGTGTAGATGGACACAATGCTTTTATTTTACTTATTTATTTTTATGTGGTGCTGAGGATCTAACCCAGTGCCTCTCATGTGCCAGGCAAGTGCTCTACCACTGAGCTAAGGACCCCAGCCCAGTAATGCGTTTCAGATAGTGCTGGATTGAGGTGACATGAGATTCAGGCAGCACTGAGGTGTGCTCACAGACATGTGCATCTGACCTCACTGCAGTGACCTTTCCCTGGCGGAGTGGCAGACCTGAGCCACAGTGAGACCTGCAGGTCTGAGCCCCTGACCCTCCTGCTGCTGGGCTTCTCTTGTTGTTCACTACTCGAGAAACTTTGGACACCCTGGCACAGTGGTGGCACCTGTCATCCCAACTACTCGGGAGGCTGAGGCGGGAGGATCACTTGAAGCCAGGAGTTGAAGACCAGTGTGCAACATAGAAATACCTATCTAAAACAATAGGCCCAGGACCTTTATAGAAATTGTCACCAGCCACATCTACTTGGTGGTCATCAGATATATCCTTCAACATGACCAGGCACATCCTGCAACATCAAAAATCCATTTGATATCTGTGCACTGCAACGTATAATCATAAAGACCCAGGGTTCGCACTGGCACACATAGCTCAGACAGGTCAGTGGCCAGCACATGGCACGTGTGCCTCCAATTGGACCCAAGCGGGGGCAAATGCATCAGAGCACTGTGGGATTCTCCTCTGTAGGACCCTGCCTGAGATGGGGAAGCAGGAAAGGAAGCAGTCCTGTGACTGACTGGAATTGCATCATTGGCTGATCATTCACAAGGAAGTTTGAAAAGGCTTCCTCTACATTCTGTCATCCTACCTGTCTTCCAAAACAGAAGAATCTGAGGGTTAAATCAGTGTCATGACTAAGTCAAGGCAGGACAGCGTGGTGCTTTTCACCCTGTGTGTGCCCCTGGGTACCTGAGCATGCACAGAGAAGTAGGCCTTGCTGCTCAAGGTGGACGGAAGAGGAGCCCACTTCACGCCAGTCCTGCAAGCAGCATGGTCAGCGGCTCCCCACAAGCCAGGATCCTGCCAGAATCCCCTACATTTGTACTGAAGGGTGGGATGCAGTCTGGGTGGACACCCAGGGCCAGCCAAGGCCACTTGTCTCCAAGTACTTGGGGAATCAGGTCACACTGGCACTGACTGCAGGCAGCAGGACCCTCTCAGCGCCAGGAGTGCTCCGCATTCTCCTGCTGGGTGAGAAGGAGCCCTCAGTCACCAGTCCAGGCCCCACAGCCTGTTATCGAGACAGAGACAACTGCTGATCTTACAGTGTCGTCCACAAAGGCCTAGGTGCTGTCCATGGGATGGAGCTCTGGCTGGACTGGGACCTCTGGGCCAACCCCCTCTGCCTGGGTTAGGACCTCTATGCTGACCCCTCTGGCTGAGTCTGCCCTAAGGCTCTGATTTTGAGCTTGGTGGCTAATGTGCACAGAGCACACTGACTATTTGGAATGATAGCATCAAATATCACAATGACGTACTCGAGCACTTTGCAGAGTTTCATGAGGAGACCCTTGAAAGTGTTGGTTTGTTTCCTTTGTTCATGGAAACTCTATCTTAATTAGTAAAACACAAAATATGAAAAAAATCTTGTTTCATAGTTAAAATAACCTTGTTTCAATGTTAAAATAATCACAACGATGCAGACTGAGCCCTCGTTTACAGTAGTTGAATACATTTGTACATTGGAACCATTCGGGCCCTTATGGATCAGCCTTTGAATAGAAGTTTTAGTTAAATGTTATGTTTTCTTGAACAGATCTTGTTCTAAAAGTGAGTTTGTTTATTTTCATTCTTTTTTTTCATAGAAATGAGAAAGGGGCAAAATAAGGACATTTTATATGGAAAATGAGACCCACTCCTTCCTATGCTAAGGCTTGGCTATTTCTTCCCCAACAGAAAGAAACCAGGCCACTGAGAGCAGAATACATGGCTCTGACCAATTTCTAAAATATTTTACCTGAAACTCAAGGGAAGACGGAAGCTTA